AAATGCCGGCAAATTTAAAACTACCCACAGACATTCTTGGGTACATCCAGGGTGTCATCCGTGAATAATAGAGGACCACGAAATAAAATTCCGCTAATTATCTGGGCGTACTGTATAAGAAAAAAGACAAGAATAATGTTCTGTATTTACATTCTACTTTCATTGTAGCATGGTTGCAGAGTTGTCTGGAGTGTTGATGGGCAGTGTGGAGTGATTAAAGATGTCTTTGTTTGAAGCTGCTGCACCCAACCCAGAGTGAGCAGGAAGTGACGTTGACATGCACTTGCAACACAATTCTTACTTGAAAGCACTTTGTCATATTTCTATCTTATAGCTACTACTACAAAACAAAACTTAACTAAATTTTTTCAAATATATACACTATTTACACACTTGTACTGAATTTAGAACTTCTTGATTGTGTGGAATCTTTGTAACACGGAGTGCACAAGGTAATTCCACACTCCTTGCACCATGGTTCACAGTGGGGTGGAGGGAGTGAGTGCCATTGTCTGTATCACTGCCCTCACTGTTGGCTGCGTCAATAAACTCGACATCGTCTGGATCTGTTTCCTCTCCATTTTTTTGTTATTGTCATCTGATACTATATCATTGCCACTCAAATCAAGCAACTCTTGACGAACACCATTACTGTCAAGAAAATGGTTTCGCTTATGCTTGGGTGTGTAGGAGTGAGGTGGGTCATGAGAGGTCGAAGGACAAGTATCCATCATGATAGCTGGCAGGTAACTGACCATGAGCCTTGAGACAAAGATTCCGTGCAAGTTCAGTTGCCAATTAAATAAATATCCCACGTAAAGTATTTCGTCCCGCCTGGACATTCAAAATCTGCCGCAAAAATAAATAACGTTGAGGAATGTCACTTGGGGTCACCAAAGTGAATGTAGAGGAACGTCACCCGGACTTTAAAGGTTAAGGAGATTTACCTAATTTTGTAGTCTGTAAGGAGGCTAGTGTAGTTACCCATTAAGTCTATGGGTTGTAAACCATGGGAACTCATGATAATAGCATCTGGCTTTAATGATGTAACTAGTAGTACAACGTTTGCCCTCAGAGAGGGTTCTTAGAAGCATAATTTTACCATTCAAGGCTTTATTCCTGTTCAGTGATGGTCATTCTCTGGATAGTTCCACTTCATAGCAGATCTACAGTAAGTTGTGTTTACATTCAATATACTAAAGATATTCTGATCCCAAACTTTTGGCCGATACTGATACCAAGATTTGGGCTGATACCGATACTCTGATACAGGTACTCCTCGACTTACGACAACCCGGACATACGACCGCCGTGGTCGTATAAAATATTTTTCAAATTACTTATTTTCTAGTACCGACTTAGTGATCGCGTTGTGTACAGACAAAATTTTCGTTTATAATTTCCTTTAAAATGGCTGGCAAGCATAAAAGTGAGAGTTCTCGTGGTGCTGAGAAGAAAAAGAGACACCCATTTTAGAATTTCTATGTATTATTTTCGACTTCGACTTACCACCAATTCGCCTTATGACCAGGTCGTTGGGATGGAACCTCGTCGTAAGTCAAGGAGAGACTGTACTACCAAAATGCACAATTGCAATAATATTGATAAATACAGTGGTCCCTCGATTAATGAACACAATTGGTACCAGAGAGTCGGTTGTTAATAAAAAAATTTCGTTAACTGAACCTATTACTTCAATGGGATATTGGGTAATTGGTTCCAACTCACAGAAAAGTATACAGTACATACAAAGTACTGTATACCATTTAATAGAATCAACAAAACATTAAACATAAACTAAATACAGTACAGTACTGTACAGTATATTGTACAATAATAAATAAAAAAACAATAGAATACAGTACAGCATTTTAACTTACTTTGAGGTGTGTATGGCGTATTTCCAGCAGCTTTGTTTACATAGCAAACAGCTGATTGTAGAGGTAGTCGATGATGACATGACATATTCTTTACAGAGTGCATTGGCTCTAATGTTTTCTTCATGTTTCATAATGATTTCTGCACTGTATATTATCAAAATGTTAACTAAATTTCAGAATGACCGATAATTTTTACGTAAAAATGCAAAAATATTCAAGAGACCAACAAACTCGATGTTCACTCCACTGTAAACAAAGTTAAACTGAGAAGCGTTGGTGGGTGATTCGATCAGTTGATGGGTGCACAAAAACTGTTCCCTGTACTGTATATATTATCAATATGTTAACTAAATTTCAGAATGACCAATAATTTTAATATAAAAACTGCAAAAATATTCAAGAACACAACTTTCTGGATATTTACTCGACTGGAAATGAATGTAAACATAAAACCAATTACCTTGTACTGTATTGGCAGACAACCACCACCTAGTCTACTGATTGGCTATTGTGTTTAGTGTATGTCTTGATGGTTTGGCAGGTCCAGTTAATTTCTTATTGTTCATTCATAAGTGAAGAGATTTGTGGATTAGAGTTTTAAATATTGTGAAGTTTTCAGATAATGAAGGTGAGGCTTTATTTATATACAGAAAACCTTCGAAGATCCGGACCCAGTAAATCCGGATTTTGGAAGATTCGGACAGAAAAATTGGGGGTTCTGGCCTAGGAAGCATTCCCAAAACAGGGTGAAGGTAGTTTTAGGCTTAAAGTTTTTATCTTATTAAATGTCAGACTAAAATTAGCAGAATATAACTTGCATTGCTGGAATCCTTACAAGATAGCAAATAATTTGAGTTTAGACATTACATATTTTGCCAAAAAGATAAAAAATTTAGCCCTTTAGTGTAGTAAATTGACTACAAATGAGTACAATAAGACCTCTCTTAACGTCAGGGTTACTTTCCTAAAAACGTGACATTATACGAAACGACGTTAAGCAGATCAATTTTCCCCATAAGAAATAGATAGACTATGGGAGTTACGTTCCTGAGCCTCCCTTTGCCCCATGAAATACATTACACATACAGAAAATCATTTCCATTTCTATAGAAAATTGTGCATACATATACAACTACAGGTAGTTCCCGACTTACGACCGACTCGACTTACGTCCACCCGCACTTACGACCGCCTCAGTTGTACCAAAATGTGGTCAAATTGTGTATTTTTGAGTCCCTAAGTCAGTACACAGACAAAATTTTCATCTGTAATTCACTTTAAAATGGCTGGCAAGCTTAAAAGTGAGTGTTTTGTGGTGCTGAGAAGAAAAAGAGACCCAAATTTTCGATTTTCTATGTGTTATTTAAGCATTTCCGACTTACGACCAATTCGACTTATGACCTGGATGTCGGTCCCTAACCCCGTCGTAAGTCGGGGAGTACCTGTACTAAGTTTGTACTGTATTGGTACTCATCGATGGGCGGAGGTGGTAGAGCGAGTGTGTGGTGGGTAGTGAAGCGGAGGAGGTGGATGGCGGGAGGGGAGGAGTATGGTGGGAGTGGAGGAGGAGGGTGGGAGCGGAGGAGGAGGGTGGGAGCGGAGGAGGAGGGTGGGAGCGGAGGTGGAGGGTGGGAGCGGAGCGGGAGGGGGGTGGGAGCGGAGCGGAGGGGGTGGGAGAGGGGGAGAGTGGTGAGTCACTGAGACTGCGACGAACCAAGAGAGCGTAGTGCGGCCAGACGATGGGGGTGATGTGCCATAGAAAGTTTGTGACGATGCAGAACCATGTAGTATCGGATCTCCGGACCATTAAACAAATTTTTGGTCTCTAAAGTTTAGCGACGTAGTACCGAAATAACGTTAAGCGGGACGGCGTTAAGCGCGGACTTACTGAACAGTAATACGTTGTTCAAAATTATGGCTTTTTCATAGGAGAAAGTCTGTATAACTAACCCCAGTAGTCAGGATAATATGTACTGTATTTTGGGTGTTTTTTAATATCATTATTTATCTGTTTTTATACATTTAGTACATTCACCGGAAGATTCGGACAATTGGCTATTCTGGACAGGTGGTCACCCCTTTTAGTCCTGTAATAATATAATAATAATAATAATAATAATAATAATAATACAGTAATAATAATAAAGAAATACAAGAATGAAAAAAAAGGTCATAAGTGAGAAACATGACCTAGACCTATGAATTGTTATTATTATTATAATTTTCATTATATTTTTGCCACCCAGGCCCCAATGTGGGTCAGTGACTTGTGCCTGGGTGAGCTAAAAAAAATAAAAATCTAAAAACCGAAAAATTCCAAAATCGGAAATGCCCCTGGCCCCAAGGATTTTGGATAAAGGATTGTCAACCTGTAATAGTGTAGGTTGTTTTATTCCAGTGGTAAGTGTTGATGTTATTCATTGTCACCACACATCACCTTTGCATGTTAACTGTCAACTCTTGATTGGAGTTCAACAATTACTGTACAGTACTATACTCAACTATTGTAAATTATATAGGGGTTGGGGACAGTATTGACATGTGAATCGTCCTGTTATCTGGAACATAATAAGTTACAACGGACACTGCTTTATTGTCATACCTTTAGTTTCTCTTATCAATTTTAAGTCTTGGTGTGGTGGTATGAATTTACATCATATTGGTTGTGGCAGATATCTTCCAGGTTGCAAGATAGAATTTACAGGTGTGCTATTGATAGTGTTTTAGGTCTGTGTTTTTCTGTCTAGACTGAATGTGTGTGTTTTTTTTTAATCACATGAGGATCACCATTGTAAGTCTTGTTCAAAATTCTGTACGGTGTTTGTGCCAATTGTGATTTTTTTTCTCATTTTTTTCTGCACCCTGGTGGAATTGTCACACGTATGTATGAGTTTTGTTTGTGTGTAGCACTGTTTGTATTATCATGTATGATATATAATGCAAAATATCACTATTGTATTACTTGTGCATAAACCAAGATTTTAATGTAGACAAACTGTTGGACACTTAGTGCATGGACTGAAGCTATAGCAGGAGTTCATGAGTTTGGGTAAATTTAAATTTACTCAACTCATAGTTATCATGAAATAACTGTGTCATTAAAGATTTCCACCCATTCAGGCTTCACAATGGAAAAGACTCCGCTGAAGCTGAAATTGAAGCTTGGAAGTGGAGGTCCTTCTACCCCAGAACAGAAAGCAACTTCATCACACCCAACCATCATCTTAAATATGGCTGATGAGGAGCAGGGACAGGTGCCATCAGATGAGGAGGTGGAGGAGGAGGAGTGTGCTGAAGATGCCCAGGTAAGGTGACACTTCACTCTGCAGTACATGCCATTTCATATTATTGGAAAGTTAAACATCACTCTTTTTAACAATGGCTAGATTGCATACCTTGTATTGTAGTAGATACTGTACATAATATTTTTATTAAACTTTCATGAACTAAATTTTTTTAGATTTTTTAAATTAGTTATTAACCATAGTAACATAAGTAAAGGAAATGTGACATGCAGAGTGAGCATGTATGTGTGGTGGCAGAGACTCAACTGTACTGTATAGTATAAGGGGAACTGCCACACTGAGTGTTTTCTCTTGAATAATCCATTATATTTAGGACAGTTTATCTAATTTGTTAGTTTATTCAGTATTCAACTCTATGGACTTGCTAACTATACAGCCTATGAGTTGAACTATACAGCACTAGCCTGGTTAGAAAATAGTTTATTATGATCAGTCCCTCATTCTTAGTACTTTTATCTTGAGAAAAAATGAGAATTACTGTAGAGTTTATGAATCATTGCACACAAAGTGAAACAGTTTGTAAAAAGTGGGTCCCATTGACCTAAAGTCTATTAGGGGCAGTGTGGATATAGTACACTGTAAACTAAGCCCTCAGTACACAAGGAGGCCGTGTAGCCAGCACTGCACTTAACTACTTTCACTTCTTTAATAATAGTTAGATATCCATTCTCACCTCAAAGGATTGGGAGTGCTCCAAGTGTAACGTAATAACCCATATGGAAGGAGGTGAATGCTGTATTCATTCAGCCTCTGCATGATTTGACATGGTTTAAAATAATTAAATTTTTATATCAGTTGTTTTTACCTCTGCCTTTCCATCAGGGGGATGAAGAACCAGTAGCAGAGGAGGAAGGACGATCTCGGTCCCGTCACTCACACCATGATGAAGGAGCAAGGTGAGGCCCTGGTGAGCCAATTTAATGTTGATCTTCATCACTGTACTCCATAGAATGTTGTGTAATATTTTGTCAGGGGTAAACTTGCATAGACATATTCTTGGATTTACTCAATAATTCAGTTTGTCACATTTGTGCCTTTCTCTGACACGCCTAGTTATAAACACCTGAAACATCTGGCTTCTTCCATCCTGACTCCATTGAAACTAACATTCAGTGTCCCATCTCCTATATATATATATATATATATATATATATATATATATATATATATATATATATATATATATATATATATATATATATATATATATATATATATATATATATATATATATATATATATATATCATAGAACTTTAGTTCATATTCAGTACTGTATTAACCTTATCTTATGGCACACATTTTTAAACTCATTCACTGCCACTCCCAATATTGTGAACACTGTTTAACATCATCTTATGCACATATAGTTTGATATCCCTTGTTATAAATGAAATGGGGGAACTTTTTGCCTTCAATTCAGTTCTTCATTTTCAGAGAGAAACACAAGAAATCAAAGAAAAAGAAAAAGAAGAAGGAACGTGAGAAGGACAAGGAAAGACACAAACATCGTCATCATCGGGATAAGACCGAGGTAACAGCCCAGTTAAGACTATTAAGTTATTTGATGTGATAAAAGCTCAGGTTTTATTTCTATCTTCCTCAGATACAGTATGTAGAGTCATTGTTTTCAGTTATCACTAGCATTTTACTTTTAATTTCCATGCTTATGTGGGTTAGTCATGATTAACTGGTGGCAACTGTTGCATCTGAAGACAAATCCACCATATTGGCCAAATAAGTTTTACTTTGTGCATACTTATTGTTGTACACCATTAAACTCTTTAGTGTGTTCAGTGCATTAGATTCAATATGTTGTTGATAATTTTGTTTGCAAGTATTTGTGACATTCATGGTTATGCATACTGTAAGTTCTTGTTTTGGAAGGGGAACATCATAGTAAAACATATATTACAGCAATAAGAGTGAATGAATGGCAGGGGTTGAAGAGTGTAGTTTTTGCTCTTTATAGCTGGTAAAAAGCATCAGGTCAGTACAGTATAGCTTTAATGGTTTGTTTTCCTTCAGGGTGAGGAGACTACGGAGGAGCCACCCATTAAGAAGCAGCACCTTGAAGCTAACAGTATAGGAACATTGCCAGCTAAGGACTCTATGTCTCCACTCCCCAAGAGTAAAGAATCTTCTGCTGCCTTCACTGTAAGTCATGGCAAAACATTTCTTGTATTACATTCCTATGAGTGTGACTTATGAATTTTCTTACACCCAGTAACTGTTTTTATTTATTTACATTGAGTTTTATTTTGTTAAGTTGCCTGTGTTTCTGTGATGTGGCCATCTGTCTCTTTTAGTGGAACATGGCTTACTTTCCCTCTTTATTTAGGGATCTTGCCTCTTTAAAACAAATAAGGCAGTGATTATAAACAGCTTGATTCAGTAAGAAGATATTAGGAGACAGTAGCTCAGCGGGTGTTGATGTGGTTTATGGTACCAAATTCACCTTGCCATAATCCTACACATTGATACAGTGCTTCTTGTGGGTGTAGTGATCGAGTTTCTGGCATCAAATGTAAAGGTATCTCAAGTGTACTACTTTGCTCCATTTTATCACAATTATTGTTAGGTTTGTATTAGTAAAGAAGCAGTCTGTATGTATAATGCAGTACATCCTAAACTACAAATCAAAGTTAAACAAGAAAATGAGGAAGTAAACTGCAATTGAACAAAATTAATTTTTCACATTAAAAGTGAAGAATCTTAAGCAGGATCAGTTACAATAAGAGGGATGGAGGAATATAATCTTGTGATCCATTAGATTTATATTGTAGTGAATTATCTGTGTAAATTTAGGAGGAGAACATAAAAAATTTCTAACAAAATTATGGTAAACAGTGTATTAGGGTAAGAACTCATAACAGAGGGTCATAGATAAATTTTTGACTGATGGCAGCAACTTCTGGACCACCTCTTGGTAAACTTGGAGAAGAAAGACCCACAACAGTTCTTTGCATGGCCTGTCACTGATGCCATTGCCCCGGGATACTCCTCCATTATATCTCAGCCAATGGACTTTTCCACAATGAAACAGAAGATTCAGGACAATGGCTACACCAATTTAAAGCAGTTTCAGGTAAGAGAGAATGTACATTAATCTGATTCTTGAAGTGTCTCAATATTTTTGGGTCAACTTTAGGGTCTGACTGCTTCAGATAGACTAAAATTTGACAATACTATGTGCAGTAAAGCCCTATTGTTTTTGGTGTGTGTCTTCTTTCCCTTGTTTTTCCCTCTCGCACAATTTTGCTCCTTCTGTAACATTCACATCCTTATAACACTTGGTCAGTTACATTAACCATTATTTTCTGTTGTTTATAAATGATGTATTAACGCATTGTTCACTTAGTCTACCCTTCTCACTAAACATCTTATTCTTATGAAATACTAGGTCTTGTATTCAATGGTTTAAGGCAAGGATGCCCAACCAGTGGCCCGTGGGCCAGATCCGGCCTGCAAACATTTCTATACGGGTCAGAATGCATGCCATCATCACATCCAATATACCATTTTTGTTTATATCTGTTCTTTTAACATGGATTTTTCGTAAAAGTATTATACCTTTTTTGTTGAATGTCTAATTATTTAATGTTATAAGTATCTGATAATAATTTATCGGGACACCATTCATACAGTTGTGTGGTTCCCGAGTAATATTATGCTACATTAACTTTGGCCCTCTTGCAAAAAAAGGTTCATTACCACTGGTTTACATTAGACAAAAGTAATTTCTTATCTGTGTGTGTGTGTGTGTGTAAAAAAAAAGATATAGTGTAAAGCCATTAATTGTTGGTTGCTGTATTTATAATGAATTGGACCAAAGTTTCTCTTACTGTACCATACAGGTCATAAGCTGACAGATCACTTCTCTTTCTTTTTTGTAGTCTGACTTCGAGCTGATGTGTAACAACTGTATGACTTACAATCAGCAAGACACAATTTATTACAAGGCTGCAAAGAAGTTGCTGCACCTAGGGCAAAAATCCATGGTACCTGAAAAACTGTTGGCTATGAAGCGTGAACTGCCCACGATGACTGTTCTGAGCAAGGAACAGGTAAACCGAAGTGTGTTCAAGTGAAGTCAACATTTAAAAATTTAGCTGATATTCATCTGAAAAAGTGAATGGTAGGGACAATGATATAATTACTCAACTGCTTATGCTTCTCTTTTATGCCTACAGCTTGGTTTTGATATCAATCCTCCCCTGCCCTCTGGTGGAGAAATAGAGGACACCATAGACACAGAACCTGTAGAGTCTATGGATGAGGATACAGACAGCAAGGAGCCACAGAGGTAAGAAGCTCCTCATGCTCACATTTACCATTATATTCCTGAGCATAATAAGGCTGTGGAAGTAATAGTGTTGTTATGTCTACCATTAGATGGAAAGCAAAGTAATAATACAAATGTGTGTTTTGTTGCAGCAAATTTGAGGCGGTGCAAGATGACATGACCTCTGAAGAGATCTTGGAACAAGTTCAAAATGCCGCTTGTGATGCCGTTGATAAACTAACCCTTAAGAAACCAGCCAGCACGGTAAGTTTCATTATTTGTTTTCTGAATTATTAAAAGTTACCAAGATATAAGATAGAAAAATAGTGTGGATTTACATATTGTTTACCATTATTCTGACGTAGAATTATTTTTTCTTTGTTCACCTTGCATATGTTTTACGTCTGATCGATTGATTGACCTTTTAGCATTAGGTAAGTCTAATCATTCAAAAAAGTGCTAGAGGATTTTAAATTGTGAAGGCTGTAGGGATGTTCTGAGTTACATTTAGATGAATTTGCTTAACATACAGTATTGAACATGTGCTCATCATGTTTTGTTGATTTAGTTGTACAGCATGCCCTTAAAATTCGTGGGGCCTAGGTTCTCAAAATGGTCGCGAATAGCCAAATCCACGAATTACATTTGCTGACCGAGGGGGGGGGGGGGTAAATTTTTACTTGTGTGCGAAGAAATGTATATTCCCTTTGTGTTTGCTTGCCCTTGGGACAATTCCATACAAGTAAATATTAATGGGAAAATCCTCTCACACATCATCAGAAACAAAACAACAAAAATGTATTAAAAATGTGAGAGTCTACCCTCAAGTCAACTCCATGCTTTGTTATAACTTTAATAGCAAAGCACAGAGTTGACTTGAGAGTAGACTCACATTTTAATACATTTGTTTCTGATTATTTGTGAGAGGATTTTCCCATTAATATTTATTTGTATGTGTTTTGTGTGTGTGTGTGTTTACTACACACACACACATACACTACATCCTTGACCAGCGAAGGGTCAAGACATACCTGGCGGTCCTTTGGGAGCAGCCAGGTCAACTGTTATGTTGGCCCATACCAACTCCCTCCCCTGAACCCCACCTCCCCACAGGAATATCAACACGTTCTCGCCAGAAGTTACTATTTCATTTAGGAAAGGAATGGAACCATTGTTGAATAGTGGTGAACAGTGCGCAAGTCAGTGAAAAACAACTCGACAATAACGGCTGAGTCGTACCCAAGCTAACCTTCACACAGTGAGGTCCCAGGTACCCAGTGATAACTGCCCCTGAGACTCAACAACACCATTTATGTGTTAATCCGTCCACGATAGGGAGGCCTGGGACACACCTCACTCACTTCAGTGAGTGAGGTATGGTCCTGTGACACCAGACCACGTGGTGTCCCCATGATGCTACGACACCACGTAGTGAATGAGTTGCTACAGCATCATGTGAGGTTCCTCATAACACCATCTGCGATGGAATTACTACACCACGTGAGATCCCTCATAACACCATCTGTGAGAGAATTACCCCACCACATCAGGGCCCTCATAACACCATCTGTGAGGGAATTACTACACCATGTGATGCCCCTCATAACACCATCTGTGAGGGAATTAGTACATCGCATCAGGTCCCTCATAACACCATCTGCAAGGGAATTACTACAAATTGTCAGGTCCCTCATAACACCATCTGTGAGGGAATTACTACACGACGTCAGGTCCCTCATAACACCGTCTGTGAGGGAGTTACTACACCGCGTCAGGCCCCTCATAACACCATCTGTGAGGGAATTACTACACCACGTCAGGTCCCTCATAACACCATCTGTGAGAGAATTACTACACCATGTGATGACCCTCATAACACCACCTGTGAGGGAATTGCTGCACCATGTGATGCTCCTCATAACACCATCTGTGAGGGAATTACTACATCATGTGATGCCCCTCATAACACCATCTGTGAGGGAATTACTACATCATGTGATGCCCCTCATAACACCACCTGTGAGGGAATTGCTGCACCATGTGATGCTCCTCATAACACCATCTGTGAGGAATTACTACACCATGTGATGCCCTCATAACGCCATCTGTGAGGGAGTTACTACACCACGTGATGACTCCTAACACCATCTGTGAGGGAGTTACTACACCACGTGATGACTCATAACACCATCTGTGAGGGAATTACTACACCATGTGATGCCCCTCATAACACCATCTGTGAGGGAGTTACTACACCACGTGATGACTCCTAACATCATCTGTGAGGGAGTTACTACACAACGTGATGACTCATATCACCATCTGTGAGGGAATTACTACACCACGTCAAGCTCTTCATAACACCATCTGTGAGGGAGTTACTACACCACGTGATGACTCATAACACCATCTGTGAGGGAGTTACTACACCACGTGATGACTCATAACACCATCTGTGAGGGAGTTACTACACCATGTGATGACTCCTAACACCATCTGTGAGGGAATTACTACACCAGCCCTCATAACACCATCTGTGAGGGAGTTACTACACCACGTGATGACTCATAACACCATCTGTGAGGGAGTTACTACACCACGTGATGACTCATAACACCATCTGTGAGGGAGTTACTACACCACGTGATGACTCATATCACCATCTGTGAGGGAATTACTACACCATGTCAAGCCCCTCATAACACTATCTGTGAGGGAATTACTGCACCATGTGATGCCCCTCATATCACCATCTGTGAGGGAATTACTACACCATGTGATGCCCCTCATAACACCATCTGTGAGGGAATTACTACATCATGTGATGCTCCTCATATCACCATCTGTGAGGGAGTTACTACACCACGTGATGACTCTTAACACCATCTGTGAGGGAGTTACTACACACGTGATGACTCATAACACCATCTGTGAATGAGTTACTACACCATGTGATGCCCCTCATAACACCCTCTATGAGGGAGTTACTACACTACTTGTCTGCTGTTCAACACCTCAGCTTACGTGATCTACGTGACCTCCACTGTAAACATTAATCTGTATGTTCACTGTATGTTCCTTTACTTTTCTCTAATGAAGGCTTTTGTTGAACCACCAATGTATATAATAAGTCATTTATGTCCAATGTATATTTTCAGCCTTTGGGCTGCAGAACTTTTTCAATATACCATTAATTATTTTTATTATTATTATTATCACACACACACACACACACACACACACACACACACACACACACACACACACACAAATAAACAATACAGGTAAAAGAAATTACTGTCTCTACAGCTAATGGCTCCTTGTCTGGCCGTGAATATGCCAGCAGCTTTAAAAGTACCCTTAGACACTCTTGGGTACATCCAGGGTGTCATCCACAAATGACCGAGGTCCGCGAATTGTCAGGGCATGCTGTACAAGATATGTTTTACAAAGGTGTTTCGGTTATAAAATATTGCTGGATAAAAACTTCAGGCTTATGTATCGAGATCTTCATCAATTCGCAGAGCAATAAGCATTACTGTGTCAGACAGGCTATTGGTGGTGTCATTATATTAATAATCTTTTACTTCTGCAGCTTGGGTTCTTACGTCAGCGAGGAGATGGCACCACCACGCTCAGTTTCCTGACAGGGTGTGAGGGAAATGACCCGAACCTGAAGGAGAAACCTGTCAGCCTGGGGCTACTCACAGGGAAGCTCACTCAGGGCTCAGCAATGCTACATAATTTCCGAGATGATAAACGAAGCATGGCTAAACCAAGTGTGTAACAATAACTTTATTTTATATTGTAATCTTGGATCAAGCAACTCTGTATGAGTAAACATGTCTATGGATTTGAAACACAGACATATGATTGGGATCTAAATATTGAATAAATTTAGAATTTAAGTTATCCTACATTTTCATACCAGGCTCTTGAAGGATCACCATCTGGTTTGAAGGTAACCTAAAAAGGAAGAAAGCTTAGAGTTTTGCTGTCACTGATAAAAAGGTGGTCCAGTCCATTCATTTGTTTATGTTAATTGCAAAAGCATTTGGTTAGGAAGAATCTTTTCAGATTCCAATCACACTTGACAGTATCAGCTAATATTTATTTTATGATTATTTCATTTATTTAGATTATGAAGATGTTCCTTTTATTTATGTACTTTATTGTTTGTTCCACAGTTAAACCACTATACTATGGGTCGTATTCATCCTTCTGCCCCTCATATGACTCGACCTTTGCTAACTTGACCAAGGAAGAAAGTGAGATGGTGTATGCAACATATGGCAATGAAACAGCTGTCCAGTATGCTAAAAGGTAAAAAGAGAATTGTGTAGGAAAACCTCTTATCTCGGTAATCTTCCTACTGTATAGTGTAATTGCTCATAGGAACAATTGTGGCTGTGCAGGACAATAAGACCCTCGTCATTGACGCGATGAGTATAATTCGGTAAAAATCTGTTGAATACATTTCACATATGACAACTGCTGATACATCAGGACACACAGTTTGAATAATATGATCAATATACAGTACATAGATACATTTCCAAGTCCCAGGTTGCTGATCTGACTTTGCCTCGTTTGCACACAATTGCAGGGTCTCAATTGTATCTCTTTGACAACACAACATACATATATTGTTTCTCACTTTTATCTTTTTTTCATTTTTGTATTTCTTTATGGTTCTTTATTATTATTATTATTACATTTTCGCTCCCTAGGCCCCGATGTGGGTCAGTGACCTGTGCCCGGGTGGGCTAATGCCCATTTAAAAAACAAAACAAAAAAAACATGAAAGTTATTAGAATTCTCAGAGGATTCAATAGTTCACAATCACACTCACGTTTTGGGTCCAGGGTTAGACCAGTGAGAACAAAATATAATGTCGTGCAGGAAGATGTTGGCTGACGAGAATCAAGTTGTTGCCTCCACAGTAGATGATAGTCTGCCCCTCAGGCGGTCACACAGCTGCTACCAGCTCCATCTCGCTTAGTAAGCTATCTCAGTTGTAAACAGTCTCTTCTCTTAACATGTGTCCGGCACTCACAATTGTTCGTGGCGATAACATATAGCTGAAGTGATGTGTTTGTTTATGAAGAATTTACATACATACATCGTCTCTCCTCGACTTATGACGGGGTTCCGTCCATTACGACTAGGTCGTAAGTCGAAAAGGCAAAAATAATACAGTACTGTACATAGAAAAACTAAAATGGATGTTTCTTTTTCTTCTCAGCACCACAAAACTCTCACTTTTAAGCATCCCAGCCATTTTAAAGGGAATTACAAACGAAAATTTTGGCAATACACAGCACGATCACTAATGTCCGGACTCAATACTCAATGTGAAAAATATTTTATACGACCATGGCCGTCGTATGTACGGGTTGTCGTAAGTCGATGAGAGACAATATATATATATATATATATATATATATATATATATATATATATATATATATATATATATATATATATATATATATATATATATATATATATATATATATATATATATATATATATATACCGTATATCACGGCCTATAAGGCGGCGGGGTGCATAAGACGCCCCCCCCAAATTTCCATTTAAAAAGTAGCTTTTGAGCTCTATTTGCTGTATAAGACCAGTACCCCAAATGTGACACTTACCCACTGACTCAGTAGTCCTTTACCAACCATCCTTGATTTTTTAAAATAAGGCCAATTCACTTCAAGTAATGTCATCAAATTATACCCGCTGGTGTAGTGTAAACACTAGTGACGTCACTGAAGCGTGGTGGGAGTGTTCCCTCGTCTCGGTGGTGTGACTATTTATACAACATGTGGTTCAACAGCAACCACCGTATTCTAATTGTGGTGTTTCATTAGGATTTGAGTGAAAAAGGTTACCAGTATGTACTTACTACATACATTTATTACACAAATATATATATATATATATATATATATATATATATATATATATATATATATATATATATATATTATATATATATATATATATATATATATATATATATATATATATATATATATATATATATATATATATATATACTGAATATACTATGTACAAAAAATGAATGTTCAATGAATTATTTATGGTGCATTAGGGTACTGGTCACTTCAAATGGGCTATAAATAGCTTGTTATCTCCCCTCCATCTCACCCTGAGCCAGACGGAAGGGTCTTGGTAAATAACATGTTTGCTTATTTTCCATTTACTTTAAATAGATTTACCGAATTATTTGTTTTATTTATTTATTTATAATATACTGTAATATATTAAACACACTGTAATTATTTTCTTTAATTTATAAACTGTTTTGCGACAAAGGAATGTTCTCCAGTAGTGTTTCATTAGGATTTGAGTGAAAAAATATTACGTACTTACACAATTGTTCCTCTTACTTTGACAACACAACATACATACAGTATATTATTTCTCAGTTTTGATCTTTTTTTTTTAATTTTTGTATTTATTTATAGTTAGTTACTTAAAATAAGGCCAATTCACTTCAAGTAATGGCATCAAATATTACCAGCTGGTGTAGTGTAAACACTAGTGACGTCACTTGAGCGTCTGTAATTAACCGTCGATAGTTTCAAGAATTAATGCACTTTTCCTTTCTTGTCTCCTCACTGGCAAATGGGGGGGGCGTGGGGAGGGGTGTGTGATGATAGCTGTGTTTATTACAGGGGTATAAATCTCTTTTACGGTATGTTAGACAGGTTTATAATACATTTTTATTATTTTAATATACCGGTAATCTTAATTTGAATCCAGCTTGCCAAACGTAAGTTTCAGTATAAAATAATTAGTGGTAAGACCTTGTGAGTGGCTTACGATGTTTTCATCACCACTCTTGACACACTAAACCACAATATTTAAGAGGTAAGAATTTTAAACTTGGTGGTTTAGACGACCCCCTAACTTTGGGCAGATTTTTTTAATGTTCAAATTTCGTCTTATAGGCCGTGATATACGGTAAATGGAAAATAAGCAAACAAATGTTATTTACCAAGACACTTGTCTGGCTCAGGGTGAGATGGAGGGGAGATAACAAGGCTATTTATAGCCCGTCTGAAGTGGCCAGTACCCTAATGCACCATAAATAATTCATTGAACATTCATTTGTTGTACATAGTATATTCAGTATATATATATATATATATATATATATATATATATATATATATATATATATATATATATATATATATATATATATATATATATATATATATATATATAACCAACACATTTTGTGCTTTTCAGCATATGCGACTTTTCTCAAGATTGTGATATGGCCATGCATCTAGTAGACCAACTGTTAAACTTGTTGACACATCAGCAGCACTCGAGAACAAAGAATGTGATTGAAGAACGTCGTCGAATGCAAGAGGAAGAAGAGCGCATTAACACACTACTTTGTCCTTCTGGGTAAGTAATTGATCACATCTCTTATGTATTCTTGATATATTTTTGTTAAAATGGCAAGGAAAACTAATAATTTTTTAAATCGTGTTTACTCCTCGCTCCCCTGAAATTTTTTGTAAAATTGGTTTAACGGAAATATGGGATGTGATGAAGAAAAGTTTAGAAGTCAAAGGTATTGATAATAGGAAGACTAGATAACAGAAGATTGATAACTTAGACAGAATTATAAAAGGAGTCCTATACAGCACCATTTTGATGTTTGCATTGGTAAATAAGTTGACAAAATGCGAAAAGTTGTATGTCTAACTAACTTGAATAGCTCAAGGTATATTGTATGTAGTATTAGAGTTAATTTAAAATATATCACCTGCTTGGGAAGGAAAAAAATGGTGCTTGTTGTTCCTGTTGCCAACATAGTGAGAAATGAAGCAAAGAAGTTAAGGAAAATATCTGAAAAGTTCCATATACTGTACAGCAAATGCCCATTTTTATGTTGGGTTGCATTCCTAAAAGGGTCTTGAAACAATGTGGTAGTGTATTCATTAATGGGAAATAGGCCTTAGGTTTTGTACATTCTTGAGACCATCCATTACCAAATATTTTAGCCTCGTCTCTTGTAATTAAAACCCTTTTAATGTATCGCTTGTACACAAAAAATGCATAAGGAAACAAAAACCTTCACTAGTCAAATAATTAAAACTATTGTATTTGTAATGTTATACTGTAATGTGACAGGTGCTTACACTGATGTTACTTATAAGTATGGGAGAATTATTTCTTGAAGCATTAGCTTGGTTTCTGGCAGATCACTTAAACAATAAAAGTTTAACTATCTATATAAACAGGCCTATAGATATATACTGTATAACTATCTATATAAACAGGCCTATAGATATGTACTGTATAACTATCTATATAAACAGGCCTATAGATATATACTGTATAACTATCTATATAAACAGGCCTATAGATATATACTGTATAACTATCTATATAAACAGGCCTCTAGATATATACTGTATAACTATCTATATAAACAGGCCTATAGATATGTACTGTATAACTATCTATATAAACAGGCCTATAGATATATACTGTATAACTATCTATATAAACAGGCCTATAGATATATACTGTATAACTATCTATATAAACAGGCCTATAGATATATACTGTATAACTATCTATATAAACAGGCCTATAGATATATACTGTATAACTATCTATATAAACAGGCCTATAGATATGTACTGTACTGTAGATACAGTAGAACGTCGATATAACACGAGATACTTTAAACCGAATTCGCACTAAATTGAAGTGTTGTTTCAATGGAATAATTTAGTTTGGAACTTGAGAGAAACACAAAATACTAAAATGACGGAGAGTCTACCCAGATGCACCTCAGCCCATCTCCTAGAATAAATAAAACATTGTTTTTTGTAGTATTATGTTAAAACAAACACTCATAAATTATCACAGCTAAAATTAAGGGATGTGAAATGGTCTGTGTACTAGCAATCAGCTGAGGGGGGGGGGGGAGTTGATATGTTTGACAGTTGATGCCAAGGTCTAGTGCTTATTTATTTATCTGTCCTTAAGAGTGACTTTAAGTTTTTCTCTTATAAAATGTCACTAAACTGACCTGGGAGAACATAATTAACATTGCTGGAATTCTTATAAGATAGTCATTAGTTTGAATATGAGCATGCTATAGTACGCATTAAACATACAAATTTTAGTTTTAATTACAAATGGCTAAAATTTTATCTTGTGCAAAATATATGACGTTTATATTCAAATTATTCGCTGTCTTGCAAGGATTCCAGCAATGCAAATTATATTCTCCAAACTTTAGTCTGTGATATTATATAAGATAAAAACTTAAAGCCTACTGTATAACCACCAAACCCTTGCTGGGAGGGGGGGGGGGGGGGAGGTGACAGTGACATGTTTGACAGTTGGCACCGAAGGTCTAGTGAAGTATTTATTTGGTTTTTTATGTCCTTTAGTTTGAGTTGTTGTTTTTTGTTTATAAAATGTCACAGAAGTGACCGGGGAGAATATAATTTACATTGCTGGAATTCTTATAAGATAGCTATTAATTTGAATATTATCATGCTATAGTTTGCACTCGACAAAAATGTTAGTAATCATTTAGTACATTATTTTGAGTACATGTACAGTACAGCTTTGCCCTTAGGACAGTGTAGCGTGCCCAGAGAAACATTAGGCGCGAATTTTAAAATGTGATGCACCAGATTGACTCGTGCAAAATAGGAGATTCGCTTTAAATTAAAACATTGTCCTTAATTGTGGGTGTTGCTTTAAATCAATAATCTTAAATTGAATCACTTTAAATTGACGTTCTACTGTAGTGCATTACTTCTGCATACAGATATTAACTCCAAGAGAAGATGTGTAATATTTTTGTTAAAGAGCTTTGTTTAATGAATTATTATGGTAGCCAAATTAAACTATTAGCCTCCCTGTGTCCATGTTGGTGGGTCCAGTGTTATTGCTTCCTTCCTCCCAGCACTGGGAACCTCAAAGGAGGGATCTTGTGTAGAATTACTGTACATCCTCCTATGACTAACATAAAAAACAAAACAATTTTCACAAATCATTCCTCAACCCAGTACAGTATTTTGAAATTACCAGCAGTACTGGGAATTACTTATAAGGAGTGTACCATCAATGTGTTATGACTTAATTCTTATCAGGAAACAGGTACAGAACTGTGCTGGTAAAATCACAGTACTATCCCACAACACAGATGCTTCATTTCGTTTTTGCATCGTTACACAATGCGAGTTAGAAAATAAATTTTTTATTGATGTGTATGACTACATTTTCTCTAGATATTGCAACTTTAGTGGTGAACAGTGTTTGCATCTCCTTCATAGTTATCTGGATTTTAATGGTACTGTTTTGTTTCAGTGACTCGGGAGCATATTCTTCATCAAGTGATCAGAAGGGACCCACAACAGTAGACTTCACTTCTCTGCGCTCACTCTCTGATATTGGCATTGACACTACCTTTGTCAACCACTTCGGTATGCCACTTTTAACAGTTTTGAGTGCTGGTCTTAAAATAGATTTAATTGCATCATACTGTTTTGTATACATGAAGCAATGAAATTGGAGTGGTGACTTATTAGTTCAAGCTTCAAGAGTTGGATAGGAATACAGTAAGTCCTCACTTAAAGTCGGGGTTACGTTCCTAAAAACGCAACGTTATATGAAACGACGTAAAGCGGATCAATTTTCACCATAAGAAATAGATAAAATACGGGAGTTACGTTCCTGCGCCTCCCTTTGCCCCACGAAATACATTACATATACAGAAATTCATTGCCATCTCCATAGAAAATTGTGCATACATATACAACTACTAAGTTTGTATTGGTACTCACCGATGGGCGGAGGTTGTAGAGTGAGTGTGCGGTGGGTAGTGAAGCGGAGGAGGTGAATGGCGGGAGGGGAGGAGTATGGCGGGAGTGGAGGAGGAAGGTGGCGAGTCACTGAGATTCTGCGCCGAGCCAAGAGAGCATAGTGCGGCCAGATGAGAGAGGGTGATGCGCCGTAAAAAGTAGTCCATGACGACGCAAAACGACGTTGTACGGAGTCATCGGGACGTTATTACCTAAATAATGTTAAGCGGGCTGACGTTATACGAGGACTAACTATACATTTGATTGTACTTTGTGAAGCTTTGGTAAAATATGTTTAAAGAAGGTGACTAGAAGAAGATTGATGTAAAACAGGTTAATGATACGGTCAGTTGGAAAGAATTGTGGTTTGAGTTTAGAATGTATAGCATATGAGAGAAAGGAGCTGGAGGTAACAAAATTAGTCATTTGACAGAGTAAATCAATTTAGATTAATGCTAAATAAGATAATAATGTCAGTGTGGTTATTTATGTGTTATCCCCCACTATAATGGTCATGTGTACAGTATTACAGTTCACAAAAAACTAATTTGGGAATGCATTTTCATGTCGCAGAGCTTGAATTACTGTGGTCTATAGCAGGCTGGTAAGCCTCTGATTTCTGGATATTTCAGCCATTGGTACTTGTGGATGTTTGGCTATTATCAAATGAACACCGTTATCACCCCATCTTGAATATTTACTTCATACTGTATAGAGTTTCTTTGGAAATTTAATGTATCAGTAAAACCTTAATAAATTGGACTACTAAAAAAAAGAAATGGGGATGATTACAAAAAAAAAAAGCTAATCAAAAGAATAACACTTCCTCACTGAACACTGTACAGTGGTCTAATCAGAATTGCTGTAGGTGTACAGAGAACAAAGACACTTGAGTATGTAAACAGGCTGGGGCTGATCGGGTGTTGCCGCATTTGTCAGCTCTATAAATTATTGATTCAGTATTATATGGTTTATGGTTCATCATGATTAATATAACATCTTCCGTAATAGAAAAAATACAATAAGTAATTTGTAATATGACTTGAAAGTAAAAGGATAAGCTGTATTGGAAGTTATTCACTCGTGATGCATTTGTGTGAGAGCTTTCAGCACACCAGCTTACAACAGGGTAACTATAACACTATAGTATTCAATATGAAGATATCTTCCTACCAATACTATTTACTACCTTTGGGTGATACATGATGGCTCAATTTCACTACTTATACACCTAAGCTAAGCTATGGTCACACTAGAGTTTTCCATGCAATAAATCCATGATAGCATTTCATCCGTAGGCAATAAGTTAACGGTATGATCCGCACACTGGTCACTGGCGAAAGGACCCATTGGCCAGGCACCCAGCTTGTGCAGCTAGTTTGAGCTCAGTTGGGGAACAGGATGGCTTCATTGTATGTTTCTATGGCAGCATTAACTGCTTTAGTGTGGTCCTGTTAAAGACGACCAAGACGAAAAAAAATGATAGTAGTGCCCAAACAATGTTTGTTTACAAAAGTGACTCAAGTACAGTACTCTTAAGAGTCAAATTAAATTCCATTCGTGCTGTATTCTTATTATTATTTTCTATTTACTATGACATTTTTGCTTGTGTTTTGTTATTGAAATACATGTACAGTACTGGTATGCTTTTTATATTTTTTTGCAAATTTTAACATTAATACAAAAAAATAAGAATGGTGTAAATTTTATTAATACAATAGACATTCTATACCATATTTCAGCCCACCGTACCTATTGATTTTCAGACGGTCCACATATTGCCCCACTTTCAATAACAAATAAGTTGATGCTTGAGGAGTTTGTTGAAAAATCAACACTATGGTGGATTTATTTTTTTGGTAGAAATTCTAGTGTGACTGCAGCTTTCGATAACTGATTAATGAATAAACCAGGGTACAGTATATGCAAATGCATAATACTATACACTACAATACTACTTATTAAGTGATGAGAAATACACTACAATAGTATTTATTAAGTGATGAGAAATACACTACTGTACTGTACTAAGTTTTGAAGACAGGCGTTATGGTAAGCCTGAGTGGTGAAGGAGCTAAGCCGATCAGCTGCCTTTTGAAAACAAATAACTTATGGTAATGAGTGTGGGATTCTTTTACTCAGGAAGTTGATTCTTTGAGGATAATATTTTATCAACCTGGCACCAAATGATTTAAGTGAAATTGCACAAAGATGTGTTGAAAGGATCTTGGGGGAGAGAGCCACCCACTCACCCCCCTCTGCCTACTGCTCCCAGATACACACTTGTCTTCCATATACTCCTACACTTATTTGTTGTTATTTTTATCTTTATAGTACTGTACAGTATACAGTTTTCTCTTTATTCATAAGACAAATTCTGTGGTTACTTACATAAGACACTTTACAGTATGTAACTATTATCTCGGTGAAAACAGTTGTTCACAACCAGACTTACATCTGTTTCATATATATTTTTTTTTATTGTTGATGTAATAGTCTTTTAATAACCTTGTTATACACTTAAAGACCTTAGTTGTTGAAGTGCAGTAATAACATAACTGATTTTCTTTAAACAGTTCAGATGAGCAGGGTTATCTCCTAATGCCCCCTCCCCCCTTCCCCCTTCCTATATTCGCTTTTTTTGGACTTTCGCATTAACTGGGGTCTGCCCCAATTACTGTTGTCCAATTTATTGAGGTTCTGCTGTACTGTACTCTATTGATATTGAATCGGTGAAAAATAGTTTATAGAATAAATTAAATGAGCAACCTCTTAAGTGTAATTAAATATCATGAACACATAAGTACCCATAATAGTTGATCTCTCATATAATTCTTGACACACCAAAATTTTGTGTTTAGTACAGTATCACATTAAACCCTTCTTTGCATCCTCTCTCAGTCAGTGAAGTTAAAGGTTTTCTAATACATGTTTGTTGATTGAATAAATTAATTCAGCATTTTTTTTTTATATTTTAAGTATAGTATAAAAAGGAATAATATTAAATGTAATCAGACACATTGATAGTGGAAACAGTCATGTGTTCCATCTATGAGTGAGGAACACGTCAAAGACCAGTCCATGGGAAGCCCATGGAACACAGTTATCACTGGCTAGCCTGAGTCTAGGTTTTCAGATGAATATTCCTCATAATTAAAGCATGAGAAAGCATCTAACTAGTTTATAGAAAAAATAAATAAAAAAGAATCAGAATCTCATTAAGACTGTACCTTAACTTGATGCACTAACATAACACCAATTAAGAACGAATATTTCACATTGACACACAGAACCTCTCCAAAGATTTTCTTCTATTGTTGGAGAGCTAATAGTGGTACCTCCTAGGGCTAATCCTTTCTCCTTACTGTGAAGACATTGGTGGTAAAGGATGAGGCATTGTTACCCATATCACAATCCAAGAAACCATTTACATCACATCATGTCAACACAATCATATGTCACTCTATACACTACCTCCTACAATACAACGTTTTGCGCCTACCTACAGTACACAACCTCCCATACTGCCACACATCACAACATCATGTATGTATGGGGATGGACACCATTGCTCATCTCATACCCACAGTAAGGGGATAAGCTTTATTATTTTTGTTTTCCTTATTCACAAAAGGTTGTCTCTTCATTGCCTTCAGTACCCAATACTAGTGTTGTCAGGGCACACATTACTCCTCGTGGTGGTGGAGCTTGAGCCAGAGCAGATGATAGAGAATAGAACATTGACTAGTAACTTGTGCATGAGCAGACAGTGATGCAACTCTCCCTACAGGTGTAAGCCTTAAAGGCTTCCAGTGAATGGATTTATAGTCTTGGATATGACCTTTTTTTCTGGAGGATGAAACTCCAGAATAATTATTAACATAATTGATTGTATCATAGCAGCCATCAGGACATAAACGACAATTTAGCGATGGTTTACTGTACAGTATATTCAGTTATGGAATTGCTATCAAGATTAGTTAGCACATTGAAGGTATAGTTTGGGATTAAGGAATGGGACTAGATTTTTTAATGTACAGTCAGGGTCAAAAGTCTTGAACACTTGACAGTATTTGGCATGTAAGTACCCAGATCTTGGGTATTAAGAAGAGTTTTATCCCATTTTGTGGTTCAGGCATAATATGTGATGACAAGTAGTGTTATTAGTGTATCCCAATCATATACTGTACGTATAACTCAGAAGTAAATGCCAGATATTGCTAAGTGTTCAAGAATTTTGATCCTGACTGTACACATATATTGATAATAATAAAATTGTGAATAGCTGTGAAGGAATAGGTGAAAAATTTGGAGGTTTTTATTTTGAGAATACCATGTACAATACTTGGGGTGCCTCTAGAATCTCTGGCAGTGCTGCCTACACCACATATCCTAACGAAGATGGAAAAAATCTTTTTACATTTTAAATGAAAAGTTAACCATGAGTATGTGAAGTCTTCGTACAACTAGTGCTCTGCTGTTATTCAAATAAATTTTCCGTCTCATTATATGAAGTAACATAGTAGAGGTTCATGCTGCCCTTAGACAAGTTTCCAGCATCAGCCAGGATTGAGATATTAATCCGTTATCCAGTTAGATATATGATTTACATCATCAATATCACTATCTGAAGGCGTTTGCTTTTTAGATCCCTCTTTGATGAAAATATGAGATTAACTTTGTTTACTCTTTCAGAGGATCAGGAGAAGCGTGAAAGTCAAATAAACACACAACTTGAAGAGAATGCTGTTCTCCTTGAAAATTTGGCAAAGGAACAGAAAGACCGTTTGTCACGCCAACGTCCCTCCAACCTAAACAATTTACCTCACCCGTCACCACAGGAGTTAAAGCTGGGTATGTAAGCCAGTGTTCACTTTTTGTTACTTTAAAATTTTACTCCTGTATTTTTGTATGTATATTATAACTGTATTTTTTGTATTGATCTTTTCTGTGACTACTTTACTAAAAGTATCAGTGTGAAGTCTTTACTCTAATGTATGTCCATTAGTGTGGAAATCATTATCCCTTTACTTTGAGGCTCCTTGAAAATTCACTGGACTCAAAGACCCAAGCAGCCTAGCTGAAGGGTTCAAGGACTACTTAATACAAGTAGATTATCCCTTACTGTATTATCACAGCCACTTGGCTGTGGGCTCTGCTAAAAATAGCAGTTTCAGGGTCTATCCTCTATATTTTTATACTGATTATTCCAGAGAACTAACCAAGTGAGTAACTCATCAATATTGTATATATACTCTTAATATTAATTGTGTTGATCATTTCTCTAATTGTATTTCATTCTTTTGATGTTAACTTTCCATTTTTGGGATTATGTCATTTCACATTACTTTTTCAGGGGAGAAAGTTACTTAATTTTTTTATTATATGTATCATTATTTCTAATTTAATTTCATCTTACAGTGGAGAAAGTAACGGATGGTCTGACTATGGTAGCTAAGCAGGCAACCCCTGGCGCCCTAGCACCAGTGCCCATTGTGCGCCGGGCCATGGGCATCACCATGCACCCGGTCACTTCTGAGCCCAGTGAGCAGATTGAGGTATGATAGATTCCACATACAAATATTTCATTGAGAGACATTCATCATGAAAATATAAATAACGTTGTGACCACGTTGAGCTGCTGCCACCAGTCACGATATTAGGCAGCAGTTGATGTGGTCAGTAATTGGAGTGGTGAATACCCAAGAACACGATACTAATTGGCAAGAGGAGGAAGGCTGCTGGCTAGTCTGTCTGTCCTCGTATCTCATGTGGCCACGGACAAGGAGGAAGGAGAAGTTTCTTGTTTGATGTATTTGTGTCTTCTGTTATTTTTACGAAAGCTACATTTCATTTTGAATTATAGTTTTGCTCATAAAAGTTTGCTGATCTGAAACTTAGAGTGAGCTTGAACTTTAATACCTCAGGTGGATATAGAGGGAACCTCGTCCCAGGAGGAGGCCACCCCTCCTCCTCCGCCTGGGAGCGGCGGTACGGAGGCCGGCACAAGGGGCACCAACACTGATCTCGAGTCACAACTGCGGCACATTCTTAACCAGGCTGATGCCACTTCTCCTCCGCCCGTCATCCACACACCTTCTGATATGACTGATAAAAAATTAAAGGAGATACTTGGAAATTGATGTTAGGAATATCTTTAGCATTGTACATGTTAGGTTCTTAATGTAGAGGTCATACACAATTGTATGACTAAATATTTTGTACAATTTTTTAATGAGTTTTATGATATAATTTAGCTATGTCCAGACTTATTAAAGCCATTTGGTGATTTGTCAAGATTGACATTAATGAAGGTTCTTAAATCTATATGAATATGTTGTACTTTTTATCCCATTTTTTACAAGTAAGAGATTTGCATATAAAATCTTGTTTGATCAGAAAGAAATATTGTTAGTGCTATAGGTACTGGTACTGTATAATTTATGAATTAATACTATTTGGCCTTGTATTATAGGTACAGTATTGGTACTGTACATAAGAATTACTGTGAACTATCCTATCAACTAAACTCTGCTCACTGTTGACTTCATTAACAATGAATTACAGTTTATATTAGCAGTTATATTGCTGATTCTTTAGTGAATACTACCACCACAGTGATATGTTCATCAGTATTTTATTTTAAGTGTTTAACTTAAAGGGATGCAAAAAAAAAAAAAAAATCTGATAAATATATGGTTTTCACCTGAAAAAAAGTTGACCAGATTTAACAGATTTAACACTTGAAAGTGAATTGACTGATGTGTTAGTACAACCAGCTTAGAAACCATCAAACATAATAATTTCTTTAAACTGTAATAGTTGCTAGTGATTCTAAAAGTGGGCTGAGCTAATGTACTACTTATCATGTAGGTACACTGAGACTAGATCACAAAGAATATTTAGACTGAACTTTAAAAGAAATATTTGTTATAGATGAAAAGTTTGTGGAAGGCTGATTGGGTTGTGGTGTGAATGTCTAACTTTTCTGGTTCAAAGTGATGTACATCCACTAAAAAATTATTCGCCACCCGTGTCATATTGTATCATGCCTTAAGGGTGCCGAATAATTTTTTAGTGGGTGCACATGATACTTGTACACAAACACACACACACACACATGTATACATGCACGATACATACATATACACCTATTAAAAGTTATTCGGCACCCTTATGGCGTGATACAATATGACACGGGTGTCAAATAATTTTACAGTGGGTGTACCATATACGAGAACTGAAATATGAAAAAAAAGTTGGTCTACACATTAAATCAACAAGACTAAACATTATTGCTTTTTTAGCACTGAATTAATTTAAAGCAGCAAGTTCAGAAATATATTTATTGAGTGAATAAAAAAAAAACCTATAGCCTCTACTGTATATTAAATTTATTTTTTTTTATTTTACTGGTATTTGGAAATGATTACCGTATGCTTAACCCTTAAAGCCTGGATGATGTTCCTCTACACTCACTAAGGTGAACCCTGGGTGATGTTCGTCAATGTTTTTAATTTTTGCGGCATATTTTGAATGTCCTGGCGAGAAGAAATACTCTGCATTTGATATTTGTTTAATTGGCAACTCAACTCGAGCATATTCTGTCTCAAAACTCGTGCCTTGTGGTCAGTTACCCGCCAGCTATTGCGATGGATGCATGTCCTTTTGACCTCTGTTCAGTAATTTATAACTGCCATGCCTATTGCTATGATAAACCATAAAATCAATACATAGCAGATCATACATTGTAATAGCACACAGTTTTATGTAAAAAAAAAAAAGCTCATTCCACTAAATCACCCTCTGAGCGACACACACAGTTCAGGCAGTTAACCAGCCGACTCACAGTCTATGACTGCAACTTTAATGTGTATGCCATGATGTTATGTCGGGAGAGATCACAGCCCTTCAGCTATAGCACAGCAACACCCTCGCGTCCCACATTTGCTCTTAATTTTTCTTAGTTTATAGTTTTATTTTATAATTTCCATAGTTCTAAGGCACATTAGAGTATTGTAATGATTTTTTGACAACTTGATAGTTTCATTACAAGTAACAATAAACACGGCTGCCTGGCTGGCGAGTGCACACAGTTATAGCCCACCACCTACACACATTCACTTCCCACGCATTCACACCCATGCTCTTAAGTTTTTATTAGTTCAATTTTTATATTATATTTTCTAAGCCACATAATTTATATAGAGTGGAATAAGCATTTTATTTCTATTTTATTTTCTCCTGAAATATGCCCGCGTGGGGGGCCCGGCGAGTCTTATGTTGCCCGAACTTTAAGGGTTAATTATATTAACTCAATTCTAATGGTGGAGGTTGAAAAAAGCAGTATCAAAAACTTAAAAGAAGCAGCATTGGTCTGATTAGGTTAGGTTAAGGTAGATTACTTTTTAAGGGTTGTTAGGATGACTAATTACAATACAGTACGACAATTTGAACCCACTAGCTTACCGTATATCTCGGCTTATAAGACGGAATTTGAACATTAAAAAAATCTGCCCAAAGTTAGGGGGTCGTCTAAACCACCAAGTATAAAATTCTTACCTCTTAAATATTGTGGTTTAGTGTGTCAAGTGTGGTGATGGAAACATCGTAAGCCACTCACAAGGTCTTACCAGTAATTATTTTATACTGAAACTTACGTTTGGCATGCTGAATTCAAATTAAGATTACCGGTATAATAAAATAATAAAAATGTATTATAAACCTGTCTAACATACCGTAAAAGAGAATTATACCCCTGTAATAAACAGCTATCATCACACACCCCTCCCCACGCCCCCCCCCATTTGCCAGTGAGGAGACAAGAAAGGGAAAGTGACCGCGAGATTGGGCTATTTTTAGCCGTGGAGGTGGTCAGTAATGCATATCTGTATATTTACTGCTAATAATACTTACCGGGTATCTCCTATAAATAATTAATTTAAAATTTATTTTTTTACAAGGAATATTCAGTAAATGACTGCATTAATTCTTGAAACTACTGACAGTTAAATACAGACGCTTAAGTGACGTCACTAGTGTTTACACTACACCAGCTGGTAACATTTGATGACATTACTTGAAGTGAATTGGCATTATTTTAAAAAACCAAGGATGGTTGGTAAAGGACTACTGAGTCAGTGGGTAAGTGTCACATTTGGGGTACTGGTCTTATACAGCGAATAGAGCTCAAAAGCTACTTTTTAAATGGAAATTTGGGGGGCCCGTCTTATGCACCCCGACGCCTTATAGGCCGAGATATACGGTATCTAGTACAGTTGGGTCTTCATTTACGTGGTCAATTGAACCCGCGGAGTACCGCGTAAAACGTGAAACGCGTAAATGAAATAACAGAACATGTGGGATTAATTGAAATAGAGACTGGGCCGACCCCCAAACTCCACTTTTTCCGACACAATACGTACCTTGTAGTCAAAATAACATCTTAATTTTATGATGGTATGCACACACAATTAATAATTAAGAGAAATATCAATAATATTAGGTTTTTTAACACATACATTGGTAGAAAAGACGGCTGGGCACACAGGGATTGGGGGTTGGTTCCAAGGCAGAGGGCAGATTATTGGCCCTCACCTGTATCACTTGTATCACTATCCATCACAGAGGCTTGCAGGGCCTCTTTGTCAAACCCCTCAAAGTCCATACAAGTCCATATCCTCACTATCATTGACTTGGGCCGGCTGTGGTGGGTGGCGGGTGAAGAACTCGGTAATGTTTTGATGACTGGGCGACCTTGTGTGCACCCTGCCCGCGCAAATTCCGCGTAAATCAAGCATTTCAATTCTGGCAAGGTACTGCGTAAATGACAAAACGTGTAAACCAAAACCCCGTAAATCCAGACTCGACTGTATACAGGTGCTCCCCGACTTACGATGGGGTTGGGGACCCAAATCCAGGTCGTAAGTCCGACATACAGTCAGTTCTGCTATAACGCGATAGTTGTGTTCTTGTAAAACATCGTGTTATAGAAATTCGTGTAATGGAAATAACAGGGCTTATGGAGAAAATATAGTTAGGTGCAGATTACTACTCGAAATCGAAAAAAATTTAGTAGTTAGCCTAACACAAAGGATAGCACAGTCTAAATAAATGTTACATTCATATTTAATAATGAAATCATACAGTAAATGTAACACTTTACCTTGAAAAAATATGAATTTAACTTGATGGGGGAGAAGGGTGATTTTGAGGTTGATAACATCGAGCTTCTCTTCAAGCGTTATAGCCTTTCTTTTACGATCATCACCGGGAATGCGATCACCAGAACACTTCTTGGAGATATTCTTCTTTACCATATTCACAGTTAATACCACAAAATTGGAGAAATAGTAAGCAAAAATCGCATTACAGCAAACAAGCGTTCGTGTTATACAATTATCGTTCCTCTATTCATAAATCGCGTTAGAGCCAATTCGCGTTGTCAAAACACGCGTTGTATAGCAGAACTCACTGTAGATATAAAAAAAAAAAAAAAAAATTCAATTTAAAAAAATAATAAATAAATAAAAAATCTACAATGAAATACAGTAAGGTAAAAGTAATAAATAATGAGGAATGGATACAGTGTGACTGAGCACTTACCTTTAATGTAGTCAGCTGAATGTACACGGGGCCCCCATAATTTTCTATTTACAGGATACATGAGACTATATTAATTGGATGAAGCAGAGGAGGAGACAGGGCTGGGTGGGTCATCAATGTCGCTTTCTTCAGACAGGTTTATGTGCTGTGGAAACTTGCTGGTTGAAGGTATTGGATCATCTTAAGGGAGTGAAGAGGCAGCACTGGTGGGGCGTGAGGAGACAGCACTGGGGGACTTCTTAAAATAGATGTCCATTTTAGACTGCACAGTTTGTTTTTTCTTTTCATTATAAATTTCTCTAGCAAGCAAGTGCATCTTGGGTCATTCTGTCAACTTTGGCATAACGCTCATAATTTTGATCCATGCCATCAGACATTTGCATTCCTTTATTAATTGTAGCAAATGCCTCTGCCATTTGTTTCACTGAAAACTTTTTGGGGGGTGCAGGTTCTTC